ACTACTACTACTACTGCTACCACTACTACCACTACTACTACTACTACTACTACTGCTACTACTACTACTACTACTACCACTACTACTACTACTACTACTACTACTACTACCACCACTACCACTACTACTTTTATTATTATTACTACTACTACTACTACTACTACTACTACTACTACTACTACTACTACTACTACTACCACGACTACGACTACATCACTGCTACTGCTACTGCTACTTCTACGGCCACTGCTATTGCTACCGCTACTTGTACTGCTACTGCTGCTGCTGCTGCTACTACACCTCCTCCTCTTCCTTCTCCTCCTCCTTCTCCTCCTTTTGCGTACTATCCTCGTTTGCCGAGCGGGTTCCCATTCCCCGGCAGAGCCAGAGGCAGCTTCACCCATCAGTCGAGCTGGCGGTGCGGAGCCACCCCTTCATGAGCCGAGGCGCGTGCGGATCCCGCTCGCGCTCCTGGGCTGGTCGATCCTCCTCCTCCTCCTCCTCCTCCTCCTCCACCATCCTTGTTCGTCATCGAAGGCGCCTGCGGCGAATCACCGCCGCCCCCTGCCTCTCAGGATACGTATGCCAACGTGGCCAAACGTGCTACTGGACCATGTGGTCCCGCAGCCGTTTTGGAAGCCTTTCGGGGAACACGTGGGGAGGAAGGAGAGGATGAGGAGAGTGAGGACAAAGTAGGATGAGGAGAAGGATGGGGAGACCTCTTGGGGGCTTCTTGGGTAATTCTTGGGGCCTCCTGGGAGCTTCATGAGGTTCTCTGAACAGACTTGGGGTCCTCTTGGGGTGCTTCAGGGCCGTCTTGGAGACCACCTTGAACGTCTTGGAGGCCTATTGGGCCGTCTTGGGGTCCCTTTGGGGCCGTCTTGGGGGCCCCTCGGGCCGTTATAGAGCCGTATTGGAGGCTTCTTGAGCGCTCTGGGGGCGATCTCTGGCCGTCGGGGAGCCGAAAAGAAGCAACTGTCCAAGTCCTTCACAAACACCTCATGGACATCGATATGGATTGCCTCTTCTGGAGGCCTCTTGGGCCATCTTGGAGGCCTCTTCGGGGCCTCTGGGGTCGTCGTGGGCCATGTTGGGCCGTCTTGGGTGCATATTGGGCTGTCTTGTGTGCATCTTGGAGCCATTTGGGGCTCTCTTGGGGCCATCTTGGCCGTATTGGAGGCGTCTTGGAGGCATCTTTGCAACAACCGTGGCCGTTTGAGAGGCGATTGTGCCGACGGAGTGAGGTTTTTTTGGCGGCTTGCGCGGTCTTCCAGCCCAAAAGCGCCCCAAGAGGGCCTCACGACGGCCCAAGTGGGCTCCAATAGAGACCAAAGGGCTCATGGACCGCCCAAGGGGGCCCTAAGGTTGCCCAAAAGATCGCCAAAAGGACCCCAGGAAGGCCTGGAAATACAATACGCACTGGTCTTCTCAAAGTTTGTTGCTAGATAAAGTCTTGACACCAGCAGGGCTCCAAGACCCTGCAAGCGATCGCGCGCTCTCATGCAGTACACGCGCTTTCCGTCCCGTGCCAAACAGGTCAAATGGCTTTCGGCCCATCCTGCCACCGTGCCTGGGTTGTGGGCCATAGGCCTCGGGTATGTTCGTTGGGATATCGCGGGAGGCCTTTCGAGGGCCTCGTTCAGGCAGTTTTGAGGCTTGTTGGGGGCCGTTTTGGGGCCTCTTGGGGGGCCTCCTGAGGGCCTCTTGGGGCCTCTTTGGGGCCTTTTGGGGCCTCTCCTGGGGGCTTCTTGGGGCGGAGGACTCGGAGTTTTGGTTCGTGTTCCCCCTCTTGGGCCCTTTTTGGGGGTTTCTTTGGGCCCTCCTGGGCCGTCTTGGGCGCCTCCTGGACTGTCGTGGGCCGTCTGGGGCCCGTCTTGGGGGCCTCTTGGCCCGTCTTTGGGCGATGCTGGAGGCCTCTTGGGCCATCTTGGAGCGTCGGGAAGACGAAAAGGCGAGAATGCCAAAATGACAGAAGAACCGTAGGGGCATCTATGAGTTCGGCCTCTTGGGGCATTCTTGGGAAAGCTCTTGGGGCGTCTCTTCTTGGGCCGTCTTGGGGCCATCTTAGGCGTCTTGGACCGATCGTGCAGCGATTCGGGGCACATTTGGACCGTCTGGGCGTTCCAGTGCCGATCCAAGAAATCCGCCCGAACCTCCGAAAGTTTACGTTCATTTGTATTTGTCTTGCACTACTTTCTTTGTTCGGCCCCCTGCAGTTGGCAAGTCAAATAACAGCTCGGCCTGCCAGCAAGTGCACCCAGCTGGCCCTGGGAATCCACTCGAGTTCTGGGACATCCCGCGAAGACCACGGCCGATTCACAGTGTGTCGCTGGATTTCGTATGTCAACCTCTCTCGTCCTGCGTGGCCTCATCTGCTCCTAGTCTCGCTCTCCCGTGAAGTATTTTTTTAGTTTGACTTGCGAGCTCGAGATCTGTCTGGAGCGGGTAGGGGTCGGTGGGGGCGAGTCGGTATCGGCAACGCCTCTGTCGGGCAGGGCAGAAGCAGGTGCGCGAGGCCGCTGCCCTTTAGACCAGGCTCCCGACGCGACAGTCGGAAAAATGCGCTCCTCTTCTTCCTCCTCCTCCTCCTCCTCCTCCTCCTCCTCCTCTCCCTCCATCCCTCTACCTCCTCCTGCTCCTCCTCCTCCTCCTCCTCCTCCTCCTCCTCCTCCTCATCCTCATCATCATCATTATCATCATCAGCAGCAGCAGCATCATCATCAGCATCCTCATCATCATCCTCATCCTCATCCTCTTCCTCCCTCCCTCTTCCTCCTCTTCGTCCGCTTCCTCCTCCTCCTTCTTCTCCTCCCTCGTCCTCCTCCTCTGCCTCCTTCTTCTCCTCCTCCTCCTCCTCCTTTTCTTCCTCTTCCTCCTCCTCGCGACTGCTGCGCCCATGGGGCGCTGCACCTGTCTAGCGACGATTCGTCGCGACCCTCCTGGAGCAACGACACGTTGCGACCCTCCTCGTCCTCCTTTCTCCTCCCGATCCTCCATCCCTCCTCCTCTTTCTCCTCCTCCTCCTCCTCCTCGTCCTTCTCTTCCTCCTCCTCCTTCTCCTCCTCCTCCTCCTCCTCCTCTCCATCCATTCTTTTTGGTATCTGTTTACCGACGAATGCATGACAGCATCAGAGAGGGGCCGCACTCCGTGGCCTTTTAAGCTCGACAGTTTGTGCTGATCGTGCTCTACGGGGTTCTGTGGCCACCGGTGTACCGCCAGCGCTGGGTGGTCGGACTGCGGGGAGGATCGAAGAGATCACCGATGTCGGAGTAAAGCCACCGCTCTCAGCCAAGTGGCGTGCGGCCTACCAGCAGAAGGACGGCGGGCCCGTGCTCCACTCGGAGGTATGGCAGTCGCGCTGTCGCCTGCAGGGCGCCGGTTTCGGCGTTTCGGAGCACGAGACGCTGAGCAAGATTGTCGCGATTCAGGGCGCGGTGGACCAGGTGGACATCTGCAACTTGGCGGGCATGGAGGTCGCCCATCAGAAGCTCCAGGTGATCGAGAACTACTTTGACGAGCGACGTCAGGAACAGCAGCAGACCAACGCCAAGCTGCCTCTCGACGAGGTCCAGGCCTTCTCGGGCGGAGGCCGAGCGCCGAGCATGGTGCGCCCTGAGCTGCTCGACCGGTCGCCAAGGAGCTGGAGCGGATTGCAGGCGTCAAGAAGATCGCGAGGAACCTTCGGGGGGAGCAGGCTGCCCACCCTGACTCCGGATCCGCCCCACTTGGGGAAATTCGTAGGTAGGGCTTGGAATTTCCGTCTTACTTTTCAAGCCCCGCTGATGCCAATTTCCGCCCTGCTTTTCCGCTGCTGTTTCCGCCCTACTTCTGTGGACTTCCGCCCTACTTTACGTTGGGTGCAGAAATTTCCGCCCTAGTTTCTTGGCTTCTTACAGGTGGACTTCCGACGCAGTTTTAAGTTTGGAAAAAAGCCAAAGTAGGGCGGATCTGGAGTCAGGGCAGGCCAAGCAGCGCGGCGGTCCTCCCCCAAAGTCATGATGCAGTGCGCGCCGCCTGGGCCCCCCCCCACCCAGCCATGTGGCCTGGCACCCCGGGGCGAGGCGGCGGCCGGGCTGGATCGCAGCCGCCCCCTGCGGCCGCTGCCGCTGCCAGCCTGGCGCGGGCCCAGACATGCGACGTCCTGATTTTTTCAGGACGGCGTCCCTGGAAGCCCAGACCCTTTCCCCGGGGCCGGTTTTTCGTCCTGACTCGTTTTTTGACGGTCCCGAGGCCCGGCGAGGGCCCCCCGGGGCCGAACATAGCGAAAAACCTTCCGTTTTGATTTTTTTACGACGCCATCATGTCTGGGGGGCCGCCCCCAGGCGACCTGCGGGGCGCTACGGCGGGCGCGGCCGCGCGGCCGGGCGGCATCGCCGGGCGGGCCTGCTCTGGGAGCTGAGTCCGGCCCTGAGCAGGTGGATGCCGGCGAGGGCGAACTCTGTCGGCTGCCCCCGGATGGCGCGCGCCGCAATATATGCGGGAGCTGGCGCCGACGCGCCCCGCCGACGGCCGCGCGCGAAGGTTGGCGGCCCACCGCCCGGCGCAGCGGCCGGCGCGGCCCCCCGGGAGCCGCAGGCCAGCCAGGCCTCTGGGGCCGATGGGCCTCAGACGCTGGCGCCATTGAGATTCGATCTCGTCTCTCTCTCTCTCTCTCTCTCTTCCCGAAGCGGGCGCGCGGCCGCGCCCGTGCGAAGAGCTCTCGGGGCGCGGCGGCCCCGCTCTGCTCGGCGTTTCTCTTGACGGCAAGGGTTTGCCGAGTCGGCTCGCCGCGGGGCGAGGGGGCGAAGCTGGTTTTCGAAGCCCTGCCTCGACCCCCTCCTTCGGCAGCCGCCCCGTCGCGTTCAGTTTGTTCGCCGGCTGCTGGGCGCCAGGGCGCTCGATCTCGTCTCGGACTTGGTCGAGGGTCGCGAAGAGGCCAGCGTTTTCACGACGCGGAGAAAGAAGACGGGAGGCACAGCTCGCATTGCATTGCAGGGCTAGCAATCTCCATGCTGAGGACCCCGAGCACGCGGCACTTGCGTCGGGCGCCAGTCTCCTCAGAGCTCCCGGAGGACGATGATCTCTGGGTTTCGAGGGTAGACGATCGCGATGCGTTATATCATATGGGGCCCCCTTTCGACTTCTGGTCCATCGTTGCGCCTCCGCGCGAGTGGGCGAGGCCTAGATTTGCCGCCTCGCTGGCGGGCTGGTCTCGCGCCTTAGCTTCCTGTCAGAGATTGCGCGAAGGCATCTTGAGGGGGCGCGCGGGCCCGGGGGATAAAGATCGCCCCGTCGACGGCCGCCCCCCCCCGTCCTACTCCGCTGGCCCCTGGGGTGCATTTTGCATCTGCGGATGACCGGTTGGGCTCTGCCGCCTCCGCCGAGCGGGCAAACGAGGTTCTCTCCCGAGCGACGGGGTCGCTTTCCCAAGCTGGAATGTGATTTTCTCGAGTGTGAGGAAAGTTTGAATGATGGATGAAATGAATGATCTTTGAGTGATCTTGATTGATATGTGTTCTTATGTTGGTGAATTCTTCTATACATTTTGATACTGGTCGCTCTCCCAGGCCGAGCTCCCCCTGCGCGGGGGCGACGCGGGCCCCGGGCCCCGTGGGAGTCCGGCCCGGGCGTTCTCGGGCGAGGGAGCGGGGCCGCGCGGCCCGAGCCCCGGCGGCCATACAGCGGCGCCGGCGGCGCAGGCGCCCGCGCCCTGCTCGACGAGCGCGCGGCCGCGGACAGGCAGGTCCGTCGGGCCACTGGTCGCTCCGCCTTCGCGGGTCTCGCCCGTAGGCATGCCTCGTCGGGCCTCGACGCTCGTTACTTCGCGATTCCATGTAGGGGTCGCGGTGTCGCGCGGCCGCTGTCGGGCGGAGCTCGACGCGGGCGTCGTTGGGCGGTCAGTGTGTCGCCGCTGCCTCGGGCAGGGTGTTCGGGCCAAGCGGGGGCCGCGAGCGCGCGCGACGGAGGCGAGCGAGCGGGGGCGCGGAGCGGTTCGGCGCGAATTGCCGGTGGACCAGGCGCGAGAGTTGGGCGGGGAGAGCGATCGCTGGGGCTTTCGAGCTCACACTGGGCGCGAGGCCGGCGCGAGGGGCCTGTTCGGCGTCGTGAGTGCCTGGGTCTGGAACCTCGGTCTCGTCGTGCTCGCGAAGGGGCGGATGACAATTTGTGCCCCTCCAGCCCACTGGGGCGTCATCCCCGGGCCCCGCCAGTCCACGAGGCGCCCCGGGATGCGCCCGACGGTCAGCGGCAGGTCACGTCGAGCAGGGGTCGGGGCCGCGCGGGGCACATCGCGTTTCTCGAAGGTCGGGCCGTCGCGCGCGCTGTCCGCCACCCTCTCAGAGACAGTGGCGCGTTCGGGAAGCGGGTTTTCTTTTTGTCCGGCAGCCTCTCGTCCGTTTTGGCTCTGACCAAGGGTCGCTCGTCTGCGCGGGGCCTGCTGCGGGCGTCTCGCCAGCGGGCGGCGCGGTGCCCCGCTGGGCGGGCGACGCCGGGCGCCGCGGCGGCTGCCGCCCGAGCGCCACCCCGCAGATGTCCCCTCTGAGGCGGCGCGCCCCGCTCGGAGCTCGGTTGGACTTCCCCCGCAGCCCCGGCCCCGCTGCGGCCAGCCAGTGGCCCGAGCGGGGCGGTGGCGAGGACGGCCGCTGGCGGGGCCGTCGGCGGGTCGCTGCCGAGATCCGCGGGCAGCCAAGGCCAGGGGGCGCGCTGAAGCGGGCGGGGGCGACGGCGCGCGCCAGGGGGGCCCGGCCCGCGAACGAGCGCGGGGGGGCGCCAGGCCCAGGCCCGGCACCGCTGGAGGGCCCCAAGCGCGCTCGAGCCCCCATCCCAGCGGGGCGAACGCGACTTCGGGAGAAGTCGGCGGGCCCGCGGACGCCGGCTGCCAGACGGCGCGGGGCAAGTTCAAGACCTGGCGCCAGGTGCCCGTGGGAGTGGGCGACGAGTGCCCGGGCGGAAAGCCGGCCCGCGCGGGGTCGCCGACGCCGGCGGCGGCGAAGTTCTGCCTGCCGGACTTCGGCTGGGGCGGGAAGCGCAAGCTGCCGCGGGCAGCAGCCCCTGCGAGGCTGGGGGCGCCTGGCCGCTCGTCGGACACGGCCGCCGCTGCCCTGGGAGGTCGTGGCGCTGATGGCGGGCCAGCTCGTGCGCGACGGCTACTGCGCGTCGGCGGTGCTCGTGGCTCCGCCCTTGCACTGGCGCCGCCCATGCCAGGCAGCCGCTGCCAGAACTGGTCACTGGCGCCCCACGCCTTCGAGGCGACGGCAGCATGCCGCGCCAGTCCGACGAGTGAGTGGTGGTGGGCGCGCCAGACTTCAAGGCGCTGCTCGACCCAGCGCCGCGGTGGCCCGCGAGGGCGGCCGCTGTTCGAGCTCAGCCAGGCCGAGCTCGCGGAGCTCCGACGTTTCGCCTGGCGGCCCGCCACTGCATAGCCGAGGCGCCGAAGCCAGCGTCGCGCACGCTGCGGCGCAGCGGCCCGACGCGCGCAGCCAGGCCGTTGAGTGCTAGCCCCTCGTCGAGATCGAGCATCGAGGCAGGCGGATGTCCGCCGCCTCGGCGCAGCGGCATCGCGCGGAGAGGCGAGTC